AATACTTACTATGAGCAAGGCACTGTGCTGGGTACTGAGGCTAAAAACAAAATAAAATGGGGGCAGCTAGTGGCGCAGTAGATACAGCACCAGCCCTGAAGTCAGGAGGACCTGAGTTCAAATCAGGCCTCAAACACTTAACACTTACTAGCTGTGTGATCTTGGGCAAGTCATTTAGCCCCATTGCCCACACACACACACACACAAAAATTAAAATAAAAGCATCTTTTCCTTCAGATATTTGATGGCCCACCTAAATGGAATCTTCATCCCAGATGCCATGTAAGTGGAACTTTTGTGAGAGGAGCCATGCCTCCCTGAGACAGCTCTTTTCAGACATTGTTTCAAGGAGGGACATTCATCTCAGCAAATAGGGCCATTTATTGATTCAATCAGCATTTATTAGGAGCCCATTATGAGCAATACCTTGGTGCTAGGGATATAAAAGACAAAAATGACATCCATCCTCCCCTCAATGAGGGGATTTCTATTTCTATCAGAAGTATCCAGAAAAGAAAATCCAAAATATATGCACATCAAATACAAAATAACAGAATTAATTACTAAGGAAGAATATACTAACAATTGATGATGGGAGCAGTGAGGGGAGATCAGGACAGACTTCTTGTAGGAGGTGACCCTTGAGTTGAGCTTGGAACGACAAATTTTATTCTAAAAGGCAGAAGGAAGAGGGGTATAGACTGAGTGTGAGGGTGAGGGCCAGCTTGTGTGGAGGCCAAGTCCAGAGAAAAAACGTCAGAATGCCAAGTGGGCTGGTTGGGTTGGAACATAGAAACTGTGACTCTGGAGAGGGTTGTCCAGTCAGCCTGGGAAGGTAGATGGTGTCATGTTGAGAAGGCCTTGGATGCCAAAGAAGGGAGTTGTATTTTGGCTGAGAAGTAAGAGGGAACTGGGCCCCTCTGGACTCAGGACCTATTGAAATTCCTCCCGCTGTGGAAAGCCCCCAGAGGCTCGGTTGGCTTGACAGATTGACTAATCCTGACCCAATCAGAAATTCACGTCTCATAAAGGTTCCCAGGATGAAACCCACCCTGTTTACACATTTTAAAAATTCTTCTGGCCCCTTTCCTTGATTAATTATATTATTATTTTAATTGAGGTGGAAGTGTCCCTTATGCGAAGATTTGCCTCCTTGCTCATATTCTGTCTTTTAGAATCCTGCTTGGAGACTTCCCAGCTATTTCCAAGCCAAGCTGCATGTAGTCTGTACGTCTCCCCCTTCCTCCCCCCCCCCAGCCACCTGCCAGAATTCAGATAGGCCCTGGGGCCCTGGGGCCCTGGGCTCTGCGAGGTGAGCTTTGACCATGTCTTGTCCAGAGCCGGGCCATTTCCCAGGCTGCCAAACTGTGCCTCCCCCCACCAACCCATTGACCAAACTCCTGCCTTTTAGGTGTTGTCTTCCCCTATTAGAAAAGTAAGCATCTTGAAGGCATAAATTGTCTTGCTTTTATTATCATCATTTAGCACAGTTTCTTAACAAATGCTTTTTCTTCTCTCCCTCTTTCCTTCCTTCCTTCCTTCCTTCCTTCCTTCCAGAGAAGCCTGAACTTGGAGTCAGAAAAACCAGTGGTTTGAATTTGGTTTGACACCATTTGGTGTATGATTCCAGGCAAATGGCATAACCTCTCTGAGTCTCAGTTTTCTCCTTCATAAAATGGGATAATAACATTTGTTGTACCTACCTGATAGGGGTATTTTGGGGGTCAAACAAAGACTAGGTATGACAAGTGTTTTGTATTAAAGTGTGCCATCTAAAATCTGACACTATTGACCTAGAAGAACCTAAAGTGATCCCTCAGTCTGAGCTTTGCTTAATAAGAATCATCCTAGGGGTCAATACTTTTTGATCACTTATGAGATCCAGTGCTTGATGATCTGACCTAGAACACACACACGCACACACACACACACACACACACACACACACATACATGCACACACACATGCATCCCTCCAAGTAATTTATTCCCACTTATCATCTTTGGACTAGTTGCCACATGCTTTTAAGAATGAGATAAAGGGTTCCGTTTGATTTAAACATTTGGGGAAATTCTTATTTAACTCAGCTTTGCTTCCTGAAGAATTTGAATCAAATTACTTTATGGCAGGGACCAAAATAATATGAAATGCTTGGATGTTGCTATATTCAGAAAGTCTCCATTGAATAGGTTTGGAAATATGAATTTATTCTGCTGTATTAAATCTCAGGGATAAAATAAGGTGAGAGAAGATAACCTTCAGCTCTTTCCTGAGGACAGCCTCCCTCATGTCAGGACCATCTTGTCTGACCACTTCCAGGATCCTGAAACTTCTGCACCCTGTGATCTCTGACATGGAGGCACCTGAGAGAATAGGAGAGGGCTCAGAGGTCAGAGCTGTTACCAGCCTTGTGATGAAGACTCCCCATGGACCAACCCTTTGGTGTAGTCTGTGTCTAAGACCTCAGATAGCTCACAGCCCCACACACCTTACGAGGCTTTCCCTGGGGACATACATAATACAAGGAAATACACGAAGCAAAACCTGGAGAAAATCACCCAGGAAGACCCTGGTAGCCAGGTGTGGGATGACTATGCCCATTTAGGATGAATACACCTCATGTAGAATATAGTTACTGACCTTTCCAAAGTCATCTCTCAGTGTGTGTCCCACGAATTTAACTCTATTCAGTTCCAGCCTTGTAGCAGGCCCTCTGCCACTAGCAGATTCTCTAGGTCAATGCAGCTCCACTCTTGCTCTATCTTCCTTCCAAACCATAGTTCAAACACCAAATCAAGTCAACAGGCACTTATTAAGCACCTACTGTGTACTAGCAATAGAAAGAGAAGCAAAGAGACTTAGGTTTCAATGGCCAAGCAGTTTAGGCTTTCCTTATGGAGCAACACCCCATGCCCTATTTTCATTGCTCCCTCCTTCGATTTGTACTCACTCTTAGAGGTCAGGATTCCCAAGTGGGACAGCTGCTACCTCCAATTCCAGGGGTAACCCTCGTGGGTAATTGTACTCCTAGCACTCTAACTTCTGACCCATCCTTGTACTTGTCATTAATATTCAGCCATTAGACTCAACTGACTCTTAACAAAGGCATTTATTTACCCAAATGGCTTAGCTAGAACAATAGGTACAAAACATTCCTCCCATAAACTTGGGCCACACTGTCCCACCAATTCACAGTGTCTCTGAGGGAGAGTGAACACAAACATGTGAAGTGACCACACGTGTAGGGAGTACAGCTAGTCAAGGCAATTCATAGCTCTAGGAACCTTCAGCAGCCCAATGTCTCTCTCCCTCTGAAAGTGTAGGGCCTCAATGTCTTGTTCCCATTCTGCACTCAGCTCTGGAAGTGACTTCTGGGCTAGACGGATCACTCTGCTGCTGGCCTGGCCTGGATCCCCAAAGGCCTGGCACCTCATCTGGGCCAGTCTCTCCACTAGACTCTGGTGGCTGAGCTGTTCTTCCTCCTAGCTTGGCTTGCTTCTCCATGGCAGCTATTGTCTCTGCCCCTCTAGACTTAATAGGAGTGCTAAGATGGGATAAGGTTATACTTTCTGAGAAGGGGAAGATGCCGCAATAGTTCTGCTCTCTTAGCTTCTCTTTCTCTTCTTTAGTTCATATTTCGTTGTTAGTTGTTAGTTTCCTGATTTCCCAGGCAGCAAATGGCAGTACAAAAAGGCAGAACTGCTCCTTTTCTGATCTTTGACCATCCTTTCTGCCTCAGAGCTGGGTTCCTGCCCTCAAGGAGAGACCTCACTCTGACTTATGGTGACCATCCTATATACTTCCCAGGTCATCATCTCTGCAAGCTGTAGTCACTTCACCAATAATTACTCAAAGTTCTGGGGTCGCTTAGTTTTTTAAACTAAAAAATTTTGACTCCCTGGTTTTTCAATCTATAAATTTCTCCTGTTGACCTTATGGAAGTGAACAGCTGAGAAAGAAAGTGCTATGGTGGTCTGTGTCCTAGGGGCAAATCCATCATCTACTACTATCTTGGCTTTGCAAATCACCCACATGAAGCTTCACATTGCATTTATCCTTGTCACCTTGGACCTACACATTTATTAACATCTCAGAAGACACACTTTTGTATTTACCTTAATAGCTTTAGCCTCAGAAAGGCTGGTGCCTTTCTTAAGGCTATTGGTAGTGGCTACTAGCTTTCTGTCCTTATAATTCAACTACTCTGCCTCCTTGATTGTGTTAATAACATAGAAATGAGCTCTTCTTCATGTGGAGGTATGAAATAAAAAAGAGAAAGATGATAACAACATGGCACAGAAGGGGGGAGGGAATGCTATGTTTGGAGTCTGGGAATTGGGCTTCAGATTCTAATTCTGCCATTTCACTACCTATATGACGTTGAGCAAGCCTCTTGCCTTCTCTAAGCCTCAGTTTCCTCATCTATAAAGTGAGGGGAGCTCGACCAGATGGCTTCTGCAGTACATTTCAACTCTAGATCTTGATTATGTGACCAGATTAACTTCAAGGCCAGTGATCCTGAATGCCAGAATCAGAGACACATTCCCATCATTTCCCTAGGATACATATGGCCAAGCATGTCCTTCCCACAGAAAATGTATGCTAGGTAGAGGTGACAGACAGCCTGGGTTCTCCATCCTTCAGGACTCTCAGTCAATGGCCACCTACCATCCTCCACAGTCTTTCCTTATCTCCCTCCTTTCCTTCCTCTACAGCCTCCCCATCCCAAAATGTATTGGAGGTACAAAGTATTGGAAGTTACATCACTGAAAGTCAGACTTTGGACATTACTTACTGCAGAGTTTTCCAATACCCTGAAATTTTCATAATTTGACAGTGGTCTACCACTGAAGGGATCTAGATTCAAGAGTCTCAGGACTCCAAAATCCTGACTCTGATACTTGCCACCTGTGGGACCATGATTAAGTCATTTAACCTTCTCTGGGCCTCATTTTCTTAACTAAATCATCTCTAAGGTCTTTCCAAACTCCAAATCCTAGGATCCTTCTGCATAATTGAGGGGTGGCTGCTTTTAAATAAACAAGGATGAAGACCAATTACAGAGCACTGAAGATGGTGAATGAGGATCTAGATGCCTTCTGAACACCGTGTCTCTATAAAAGAAACAGATGGGGCAGTGGGTAAAGAATGGGCTCCTATCTGCCAAGGGACTTCTTACTGGTGGAGTGACTTCCAGCAAGTAAATCATCTCTCTGCATCTCAGCCTTCGCAATAAACTGGAGACTATGGCACCTGAAGTATCCACCCCAAAAGGCCTCATTGTGAGGCTTAATTAAGATAATGGGTGGAAAGCCATTTTGTAATTACCAATTAGTATGACCTTGTCGCCATTTTAGAATGAAAATGGAAGGGGGAGGGCATGGCAGAGAAATGTGATGTTACATGATTAAAGAAATGTGATAAATTATATTAATAAAGAATAAATATTTGTTTTAATGACAACTTTGGATAAAAAACACAGGATTTAGAATTGGGAAGGACTTTAGAAGTCCCTGAACTCATTTTAGAGATGACTCAGAAGTGAAAAGACTGCTCCAGATTACACAGGAAATCAGAAGATGGAATTTGACCCAGACCTTTTTCCTTGAGACCACAGTGCCTTCCACATGTTTTCTGTGTCTTAATGCCTCAAAAAGAAGCATTAAAAAAAACCCCAACAACCACTCTGATAATAAAAACTGTAGCACAGACCATATCCAGTTGGTTTTGGCATTTAAGGAAAAGATAGTCAAACTATTTTACTATTTTTAATCCCATCAAAATGATTGTGTAGGAGGCAGTGTAATGTAAACTCTGAACCAGGATCACGCAGTTCTATGTTTACATGGACTGTCTCTGATCTTGGGAGCTTCTCTTTCACTAGTACTCTTCCCCAGGGGATCTCCCTTCCCCAGGAACATCAGGACCTGGCTTATTCCTAGGTTTTCCCAATAAAGAAGAAATGAGGTCTCAGCTCCTATGTCGACCCTTGGGCTCCCAAAAACATCAAATAGCATGGGCTTTGTTTCAATCAACAAAACATTCAAAGTGCTTACACAGAACCTAGAGACAGCCAGGACAACTGTCACACACTCTGTGAACTCTACCTCCCCCAAGGAGCTGTACAGTCCTCCAGACTTAAAAATATTCTAAGAGAGTCCCCCTAGAAAGAGGAGGAGCCATAGTCAATCGGTCAGTAAGCACTATATATTATGTTTCAGAAATTACAGTTGTTGCTGGGAATATTGACACAAAATTAGGACAGTCTCTCAGCACAAGGAGTTTACATTTTACTGGAGCAGGGGAGACAATGTGTTCACACCTAATTAAATACAAGATATATACAAAATAAATAATAAGTGATTCGTGGAGCATTAACAACAAGAGGAATCAGGAAAGGTCTTTGCATGAAGAAGGTACTTGATCTGAGCCTTACAGGGAGCTAGGTGCTTCAAGAGATAGAGGTGAAGAGAAAGAGAATTCCAGGCATGGGGACAGTCTATCCAAAGGCACAAAGTGGGTGGCCTGGGAACAGCAAGTTGGCCAACTGGCTGAAACACAGAGGCTCTCTATCTTCTGCCACGGTCTGACCACATCTGGTCCTCATGTTCCATTCACTTACAAGGGGAATAGGCTGCCAGGAGGGAGGCTGCCATCACTGGCAGTCTCAGGTCAGAAGCTGGGTAGACATGAGTTGGAGATGTTATCCAGAAGATTGCTGCTCAGGCAGGACATAGCCCAAATGGCCTCCAATCTCCCTTCCAGCTCTGGGATTCTGTGAATCTGTGAAGTACTTGGAAAAGTTAATGGCATTAGCCTGGTTGGGTAATGCATGCATTTGGAGTAATAAACTGTAAGTCTCCAGGAAGCAGCTAGAGTTTGGACAATTGATTGCCCTTCATGCGTGCCTTTGTCCCCAATATGCAGATTACTTCTCCTGTTTCCAACAGTGACCAGCAAATGACCTGTCACCATGGCCCCTTGGACTCTGATGCCTTCAGGTTTTCTGGCAATGAATGGAATTATGCCTAATTTCCTTTTATTGCTAACCTGGCTTCCTCTTGCCTCCTGTAAGGACCTCCACATCCCCACATAATGTTTGTTTTTATCAGAACTCTACAGGTAGGTGTTTTGTAGAGGAAAAGAATGTCCTGCTCGTCTTAATTCTGACTGTAGGGGGTGCCAGAGACTACAGATCTCTGATAACAGTAGGCTCAGACATCCAGGCAACTGGCCACCATGTAGGATTTATTTGAGACCCTGAAAACCAAAAATTCCTGGCAGAGATTACCCTTAAAGTTCTTTACCTTGTAGAAACTAGGTATACACCAACATCTCACACCATATACCAAGATAAGGTTAAAATGGGTACATAATTAGACATAAAAGGTGACATCATAAGGCAATTAGGGGAACATGGAAAATACTACCTGTCAAATCTATGGAAAAGGGAAGAGTTTATGACCAAATAAGAAGGAGAGAGAGAGGAACATGAGAGTTAAAATGGACAATTTTGATTACATAAAATTTAAAAAGTTCTTGTACAAACAAAACCAATGCAGTCAAGATTAGAAGGAAATCAAGAAACTGGGGAGAAAAAAAATTATAGCAAGTTCCTCTGCCAAAGGCTTCATTTCTGAAATCTATAGAGAACTGAGTCAAATTTATTAAAAAAATATGCGTCATTCCCCAATTCATACATTGTGTAAGGATATGAACAGGCAGTTTTCAGAAGAAGTAACCAAAGTTATCTATACTCATATGAAAAAAAATGCTCTAAATCACTATCAATTAGAGAAATACAAATTAGAACAAGTATTTAGGTATCACTCACACCTATCAGATTGGCTAAATAACATAAAGGAAAAATGACAAATGTGGAAAGGGATGTGGAAAAATCAGGACACTAATCCATTATTTGTTGTTCAGTCATTTCAGTCTTGTCTAACTCTGTAACCTATTTGGAGTTTTCTTGGCAAAGATAGTGGAGTGGTTTACCAGTTCCTTCTCCACTTCATTTTACAGATGAAGAATTGAGGCAAATAAAGTTAAGTGATTTGCCCAGGGTCACTTAGCTAGTAACTGTCTGAGGCTAGGTTTGAACTTAGGAAGATGAGTCATTTTTTAAAAAAGAAAAAGATCTTTGCCTTGGCCCTGATCCTGGCTGGCACCTGGAATTTCCAGGAATTTTTTTTTTTTTGCCAGACAGGTGAAAGGCTTTCCTATGTAGATTGTTTATGAACCTATGAATTCCCCTGGGATCGTCCAGTGGATTTCTTGGTTTCTCACCTTGCAGAATGGGCTGCCACTCACCAACAACCACTCCTACCCTCAGGGACAATAGATTGACCCCAGTAGCTCAATCACCCCCACTGCCATAGAATACCCATCCTTACCCCAGTGGATGACATAAAGACATTTCATCTTGGTCTCCAAAATATCTTTTACTCCAACCTAAGAGATAAAATAGCTGATATTTGATTCATACAATGGTCAATAAGATGGCAAAGAGCCTTGAATCCTCGATATGTGAGGGCCAGTTGAAGAAATGAAGCATTTTTAGCTAGAAGAGTTGTGAGTGTTGTAGCTGTCCTCACATTCTTGGAGGGCTCTCACATGAAGGAGCCATTACACTTGTTTTGTTGGACTCAGAGGAAAGAACCAGAAGGATTGCATGGAGATTATGAAGAGACCAAGGTAAGTTTGACATTAGGAAAAAATGTGCTACCAAGAAGAGCTGTCCAAAAGTGGACAGCTTTGGGAACGATGAGCCCCCCCTCCTTGGACAGATTCAGGCAGCAGCTAGAATCTGCTTGGCAGGTATGTTGTTACAGAGATTCCTTTCAATCATGACTTGGGCCGCTAAAATCTCTTCCAACTCTCAAATTTTATGAGTTAGATTCTGTGTTCCAATGGTATCATGAGGTGAAAGAGCCTATGAGAGTTGCCTATCCAGGGGAGTAGAGGCAAGTATCTGAACGTTAGTGTCAACAGGAACCAAGGTAGGCAGTTCTCATGAGATAGTTAAATTTCACCTTAGGGAGAGCAGGCAGTATACTCCGCTTGTGTTCCTGCTGGCACCATGTAATACTGATGTGTACACCAAATATACGTTTATTTCTGTCCCAGAGGAGAGAGTGAAAAGCCTAGGAGAAGGTGCTTCTACTCTCCAGGTTATCAGGGAGAATTCCTTGTTGCGTAAAAGAATTAAAGAGATTCTTTAAGGAAGACATGAAGAAGAAAGGGATGTAAAAAAGGCAGAAGGGCATTCTCACTTGTGTCAGGTTGGATGGTAAGATAATGGGACATAAAGAAGGCAGGGAAGAAGGACCCAGGTAACAGGGATGTAGCTATTTCTGCAGGAAGCAGATTCTGGTACTCCAAGGAATGATATTAGAGATCCACTGATGACATCAGTTGAGACTTCAGTCAGTAATGACCAAAGGCAGAAGAGAAAAATAGTGGAGTTTGATGACCACCTGCTAAGTGGTAGGTACCAAAGCATCTATTCATAGTGTTGACCTGACATAAACAGTAGAGAAGACTTGCCTTCCTGTGCTATGCCTCTAGCATATTATTCCATATATTCTTCTAGAATATTTGCAGAACCATCAAGGCTGATTTTTACCACTTACTTGTAGTAATTCATGTGCAGATAAATGACATCACCACAAGCAAACTAGAAAATGTCACTAAGGATTGTGAAGTCCTGACAGGGGTGGGAGGAGCGAGGACCTTATGAAGATGTTGGAGGAGTTCCTATAGATGTTGAAGGTGAGCGCAGGTAGGATTTTCATTTTATGGGGAATCCATAAAAGAAAAGGTGATTTGGAAAGTGAACAACTGGTCAGAAAGATAGTATCCAAGAATGGGATTTGGATTTCGAATCATGACTTACAACAGAAGAACAATATGCCTTTGGACAGACATGGAATTAACAGGGCCACGTTATTGCAGGTCAAACCTAAAGCAGATTCAAGATTTAAACATTCCATGAGCACTGGTGGAAGCTACTCAACAATAGGTTAAAAGAATAAATGAAAAACTATACAAGGGCAAAACAACATTCATCTTCTACAGGATCAGCATGACCAAGGAGCAAGATGAAGCTTCTAATCCTAACTCCTCATGTGCTGGGGGTTTTAATACCTTGATAGGCAAGGAAGCAAAATGGCCCTCAGGCATTTTTAAAGCATGAGCTCAATCTACATAAAACAGGGGCTACCCCTGCCACACAAGTATAGACACATTTTTGGTGAG